CCCCTCAAATATACACTGTATTTTAAGAAAGCACAGCTTGGGGTTTTTTTATCCAGTGGCAGCTTGCGCTATAAAGGTATTACTGTTAAAGAATGAAAGTTGCAGAGATACAGCTGTAAAAGGAGAGTGACATTTCCCTGAAGAGAAACAGTACAACTGTTCAACTCTTAACATGTATCTAACCTATAACAACAGATACAATGGCAAGGTCTTATTTTGCTGTGTCCTTTTTTATTTCTGCAGGAAAAAGGTAACTTCACTTATTGTCCAGCAACAGGTCTGGCTGTAGGAAATGAATGTTCAGAGTTTGCTGGCTGGGCATTTCCATTTCCAGGAGTGTTCTTGCTGGAGGAATTTATAAGCCAAGATGAGGAATATAAAATGGTTCAGCTGATGGATCAAGATGACTGGAAACTATCACAATCTGGCTGAAGGAAGCAGGTCTGAGTCCAGAAATAGGTTTCCTTCAGGGGAAGATTATTTCTTCACTTAACAAAAATCATGCTTTAGGTTTAATGTTTTCATTAAATTGATTCTTTCTGAAATAACAAATATAATTGTATTTGAAATTAATTTCTCTCAAGAGTGCATTTGTGATAGCTATAGTGAATCACGCTTGATATTGCACATTGAAACAATCTCAAACCACATTGATGTGCACAAGCAGGAAAACTTGAATCCAAAAGTATTATGACTTTCATGGGGCTATCTTACTGGTGCAGATCATTTTCTGATAAGTCACTGGCAAAGGTAGAAACAGAACCCAAGATGCCCAGGGCTCCCCAGTTTGTCCAGAGGATAGTGCCTCTCTAAAAGGGCAGAACCCACATTTTTATTTATCATCATCTGCTTTTCCTTTTCAACAGGACTATGGGCCCAAAGTGAACTTTAAGAAAAAGAAGCTGAAAACTGGTGGCTTCTTTGGCTTGCCCAGTTTTAGCCAGGAGATTGTACAGCGAATGAAGGCTCATTCTGCATTAGAAGACTTCTTTCCTGTTGAGCAGTGTAACCTGGACTATCTACCAGAAAGAGGTTCTGCCATTGACCCACACTTTGATGACTGGTGGCTTTGGGGGGAGCGACTGGTTAGCTTAAATTTACTCTCAAAAACGGTGCTGTCCATGTCTTGTGAATCAGAGGATGGTCTCCAGTTAGTTGCCAATCACAAGCAAGCAATGGGGGAATCAAATCCCTCTGCCTCACCTCAAGCTTCCCAGAGCCACAAACAAAACCACCTTCCTTCCACAACAGTATGTGAAAATTTAGCCAGTTGGGATATTAACTACT